ATGTAGCACTTTAAAGACTAACAAGATGGTTTATTAGATGATGAGCTTTCGTGGGCCAGACCCACTTCCTCAGATCAAATAGTGGAAGAAAATAGTCACAACCATATATACCAAAGGATACAATTAAAAAAAATGAACACATATGAAAAGGACAAATCACATTTCAGAACAGAAGGCGGATGCGGGGGGAGGGGAAGGAAGGAAGGTAAGTGTCTGTGAGTTAATGATATTAGCGGTGTGGAAAGTTAGATGTCTGTGAGCTAATGGTATTAGAGGTGATAATTGGGGAAGCTATGCTGGTAATGGGTAAGATAGTTGGGGTCTTTGTTCAATCCGCCCCCCCGGAGAGTGTCCAGGATAGACCAGTAGTGAGCGTGCCAATACCAGAGATGATGGGACGTCCGGGGTGTCCAGGTTTATGGATCTTGGGAAGCAGATAGAACAATCCTGGTCGGGGGTCAGAAGGTGTTTCTGTGAAACTACACTGTCTCCTTAAAAGCCTCCCCACAGCTACTCGGGAACAAATCCACACAGAAACACCTTCTGACCCCCAACCAGGATTGTTCTATCTGCTTCCCAAGATCCATAAACCTGGACACCCCGGACGTCCCATCATCTCTGGTATTGGCACGCTCACTACTGGTCTATCCTGGACACTCTCCGGGGGGGCGGATTGAACAAAGACCCCAACTATCTTACCCATTACCAGCATAGCTTCCCCAATTATCACCTCTAATACCATTAGCTCACAGACATCTAACTTTCCACACCGCTAATATCATTAACTCACAGACACTTACCTTCCTTCCTTCCCCTCCCCCCGCATCCGCCTTCTGTTCTGAAATGTGATTTGTCCTTTTCATATGTGTTCATTTTTTTTAATTGTATCCTTTGGTATATATGGTTGTGACTATTTTCTTCCGCTATTTGATCTGAGGAAGTGGGTCTGGCCCACGAAAGCTCATCATCTAATAAATCATCTTGTTAGTCTTTAAAGTGCTACATAGTCCTGCATTTTCCTTCAGCTATACCAGACTAACACGGCTACATTTCTATTACTATTCAAAGTGTAGATGTGGCTGTATTTTGGCTGTGGACAAGGCAGCCACTGAGGAACCTTCAGACCTGGGTTTCAGGTCAATGGATCCTCACAGCAGGAGTCCTGTAGAAAATGGCTTCATGCACTATAAAGGCCTGATTTATTCCCTGTACACTGTCCATCTTGCACACTACATGAGGCATGGATTCTGTGCAAAAATACCATGAGATCATGTAATTAAAGACATAATGCATATATAGAAGGAGGCTGAATTTCGGTTATATAGGCAACCCTAATTTTGACTGTTTGGTCCACATCACTAAAGGTACTGAGATGCCTAACACCGATTAATTTCAATGGGAGTTAGGTATCTAAATATCTTTGAAGATCTGGGGCTTCTTCCAAATGTTTGATTTTGCAACCTAATGTTATTTTAATGTAGTTTTCCCCCAATCTAATAATAGATTAGTTTGAAACACAAGAAAAAGCTTTGAGGGGAAACTTTTACTGCTACTGCATGAGGTGATCCTGTTGTGTGGATAAATAATGGACTTCATCGTCCATATTTCTCAATCTGGCATCTTTTATGAGTTAAAAAACTTAAAGAAAAAATGGAATATGAATATTTTAAAATATATGCTTATTAAAGATATGAACCACAAAACTTTGCTGATACTTTATGTTAGAAGTTTCTATTTAGCAAGCTGGAGTAAAGTGTACATACTTTGAAATTCTGAGCTTTTATAACCAAATCCCAAAGTTTTGCTGCTTCCAAGTGTCTTGGTAGTTCTGTAAGCTGTTTTAACTTGAAACCTGGGTATCTATAATTCTAAAAGGAAAAATGATTAATTCTTAATTATTGCACTCCTGATATATTCTCAGAAGAGAGAGAGAGAGAGAGAGGGAGAGAGAGAGGGAGAGAGAGAGAGAGAGACTATCTCTTCAAATATATCCACAATATTTTTTTCTAAACTGAAACTGAAGACAGTTACCCTACAATGGAAATGTTCCATTGTTGGGAGTCCCATTTTTTTCAGTAGCATTTTCTTTACCAATTGCTTTCTTTGATGGCCCAGAGTCAGGGTATGTCTGCACTGCAGAGTTTTTCTGGAAAAATGGCCATTTTTCCAGAAGAATTACACTTACGTCCACACTGCAATTGAATTCTTTCAACAGAAAGTCGAAAGAATGCAGGGGTTTTTCTGACAGTGGTAAACCTCTTTCTATGAGGAATAATCCTTTTTCCGAAAGAGCTCTTTCAGAAAAAGGCATGTGTGGACAGGGAAGAGGGGGTTGTTTTTTTTCAAAAGAAGAGTCTTCCAGTAAAAAGCACAGATGCCCTCGTGGCCACTCTGTCCATAGTAATCACAACTTAAATGCAAGATAGCATCCAATCAATGTGGACATTATCTTTCGAAAAAGCAGATCGCATTTTCTGTGTGGACACTCTCTTTCGAAAGAAGTTTTTCTGGAAGATCTCTTCTGGAAAAGCTTCTCCTGAAAGAAGCCTACAGTCTAGACATAGCCTCAGTAAGAGGTCCAGTTATCGATCATTCAAGGTACATCAAGGAATTGTTCCCTGATCATTAGTAAATATTTTGCCTTTATGTACTTGTCTCAAAATTATTTAGTGTGAAACTCCAGTCAAGGTGTTTTGCTTTGTTTTTATATTTAAGTCAGCAATATTTTCTACTTCTCAGACTCTGCCTTCATTTCCATGATATTGCAGTCATTCTGTTAATTGTGTAGCAAATGCATAGCAGATAGTGTCCCAGCAGAGTCCATGGCTGTAGTTAAAAAAAAATCTCCTTCTGCATGACATCACCTTGTATAATTGGAATATGATGTATGATTTTCATTTTACGCCAGGAAGTGGGTCAGTTTATATTTCAGAGCACAGAAAGCAAAATAAAATTAATAAAAATGCTTAGCATTTATAAATGTGTTCGGATCTATGCAGATATTACCACTCTATTTGATAATACCACTCTTGTGAGATAAGTGGGTCCTGATCTAGTGATGTCAGTAAAATTACTTATGCAATGCATAGGAGCGTCTTTTGGCTCTTTACTTTAGGGAAGTCTCAAAAAAACCACAGAACCTGATTTGCTATTTTTCTTACCTTAATTAGCTCATTAATGAATTATGATAGAAATTTACAAGTTTTTATTTTATATTATTTCCATGAAATTTGCTCAGTTAATATTTTAGTGCTCAGTTCCACAATACTGACACCTATTACTAACTTTACTTATGCAAATAATTACATTGATGCCTCTAATGTAGGGGTGGGCAATAGCATGGCAGTAGTCCTTTAGGGTTAGCCCCAGGCGGGCCACCACCGCTATATTTACCTGCACAGCCGCAGGTACCAGCAATCGCAGCTTCTGTTGGCCATGGATTCCTGGTGAATAGGAGCAGTGGGAATCAGCGCAGACTGAGACATCACTTCCTACAGCTCACATTGACTGGAAACAACAATCCATGGCCAATAGGAGCTGCAATTGCCAGTACCTGCAGTCATGCAGGTAAATATAGTGATGGGGGCCTGCTAGGAGCTAACCCTAGCAAATTAGATCCGGCCACTGGGCCAGTATTTGACCACTCCTGTTCTAATGGAAGATGTCGTAATCTTTGGCCCAGTGGTCCCTTGTAGCCAGATTTGGTTAAAGGATCCTTTAACTTATGGCAGAAGCAGACTTAGGGGGCTGGAGAAAATATTCTGGGGGCAGGGTGGCTCAGCAGGGGCATATCTATGAGTGGGCCTAGGTGGGCTCACCCAGTTAGCACCCAATTAAGTCCATCATACTAGTAGTGAAGGGGCTCCTTCTGGCAGAGAGAGATTTCTGGGAGACTGAGTGGCTACAAGTAGCCCCAAACAGCCATAGGAATCAGGACAATTTAAAACTGACACACAGCCACCTTTGCTTCCTCCATAGATCCCTCGTTAAACACAGATTGGAAAAATCCAAAAATTAGGCCCCAAGTATTCATATATGACATGTCAATTAAATCAACACATTCATAGAACCTTGCAAATCTCAGATATCCGCTTTTTATCCATGGGTGTCCACAGCTCACTTTTGCAGATATAGATGCAAATGTAGAGACAAATTTTGTATCTAGAACACTACACATTTGAAAATAACTGCTTTATATCTGTGGGTATACACATACACAGATGTCAATGACATATACATGCTCACTTATGCAGACATAGATGTGGGTGCAGATACAAATTTTGTATCCATGCAGGGCTCTACACATTCATACCACAATTGGATTTTCCAGTATGTGGTATATCTAAATGTACATAATTAATAAAAATAAGATTGGATCTTTATATATATATCTATATATCTATATCTATATCTATATATTTATAGGATCATTGGATCATTATATATATGACCTAATTCTGTATTCCTTTATTTCCCTAAATTGTCATTGATTTACATACTATTGGTTTGATTTAATACTGCAATCTACTTTATGATATGTTTAGCAAATATACCTTAACATTTTTTCTGCTTGATTCCTCACTGATGTTTTTATCGACCTAAAAAATATTTTAAACAAACCATTCAAAAGTAATATTAAATGTACTTCTTACCATGAATTAAACATTTTGTATTCTCAGACAAAGGGAAATACTTTCAGCTAAGTCAGGAATTAAAACAGTCTAAATATAACTTCAACTTGAAAAATATGACTGTAGGAGTTAATTGCAGAAGAACTTTGTACGTGCAAGTTTAGGAGTGGCGAGGCCTGCATTCTTTCCCCCCTTTCCCTTTCCCCTATATCTGATGAGCCAGAAGCAAGTCTTTGGGAACATACACCATTTAAGATAAGCATTGTTGCCAGTATAGCAAGAACAAGTATAAGATAAAGGGAAAGGACAAGAATGCATAAACAATTCTGTTTACCCTAACATACTGATCATGTAAACAAGGCCAAAGAACAAGTAGAACTAGATCAGAACCAGATCAATAACTAACAGCTGAGCCCTACATCAGCACATAATGAGTAACCCCTGGAAATTTCCAAACTGAAAAACAAGGCAAGAGAACTGTATTTAAGGCTGCACCAAAGCACAGCAATTTGGACCTCATCGATGGGCTTTGGGTACCGGCGCCTTAGAAGCTGAGACAACCTCCCACTTCGTCTGCAGCCAACTTGGGATCCCCAGCTAGCAGGAAGGGACATAAGATATGCCACTTTTTTGTTATGTTGCCCTTCTAGTGAAGGGGTGCAGCTGTTAGCTGTCAGGAAATAACTGCTTGTGTTTGACAGATACCTGCGTAGCGTTTTTTGTACTTTGAGAACCCAGTGTCGGACCTGAGACTTACTCTTGCCAGCAACAATGACATGCGGCATTCAAAAGCCTTAGGTCTATCTTATCTATACTACAAAATATTATCTGACAATATAAAACATGATCATATTTTTGAGTAGTTTTATCTATGTAATCATATAGGGCAGGCCACAATCTCTGTCTGAAATGCATGACAGAAGCTCCTTTGAAAAATTAGGTCTTTACCAGTATTCCCTGAAAGATTTTCCATCCACGATGGGAGTGAGTTTAATCTTGTGCACCAATATTGATGCCATGTGCATTTGTTTGGATGTGTGCCACTGGGGGAGAGACCTAACTGCCATGGCTGGCTTGGCCCCTGGCCTTCCTCCAAGAAACCGACCGTGGAAGTGGGCTGAGAGACTGCGATCTGCGTGGACTGCGCTGCCCTGGCCCTCCTCCGGCAGCCAGAGGATGGTCAAGAGGTTTAGGCTGGCTGCAGCCAGGACGGGAGGGGCTCAGAGGCCTGGGATGGCTGCGGCCCCAGCCCGCCCCTTCTAGGTGTCTGTGGGGAGAGCTGGGCCTGCCTAACCCCAGAGACGGGGCTTGGCGAGCGTAGCGAACAGGGGTCAAAACACCCCAATGTGTGTATATAAAATTTAATTATGTTAGAAAAAATATTAAAAACTGGATATTTAAAAATGTGCTTGACCCTGCACCCACTCACCCAGAAAACCACCCAGTTTGCTGGCTGCTGCCCCCATCACACACTATGCATGCCCCTCTACCTGTGCCCCCATCAGGGCCACACACAGCCACCTGGTACCAGGATAGGCCTGGCTAACTGCGTACTCCCACACATGCAAGAGAGTTACTCACCCTGTTCAGTAACAGGGGTTCTTCGAGATGTGTGTCCCCGTGAGTGTTCCTCATGCTGGCAACTGGAGATGTTTTCAGCAGCATCCTGCTGTGCCGTATCCATGCCTTGGCACCTCCTTGTGCCATTGGTGTCTGCTAGGCACGCACACGGCACGGCCCCCTTCCTTCCTTCTCTACCCTTGCCACTAGACCAGAAGGCTCCAAAGCAGGGGAAGGTGGGAGGGTAGTGGAGCACCCATAGGGACACACATCTTGAAGAACTCCCATTATTGAACAGGTGAGTAACTCCCTTTTCTTCTTCAAGTGATGTCCCTGTGGCTGTGTCTAGACTATACCTCCGTTTCAAAAAAAAAGCGGTGGTCATGTTTATGCTAATGAAGTGCAGGATATTTAAATCCCTGCTTCATTAGCAATTTCAACGTGCCTAATCTACATCTCTCTGTCGACAGAGAGGTGTAGTCTAGACGTACCTTGTGGGTGCTCCGCTCTGGGTGACTACAAAGCATTAGTCACTACAAAGCATGAATCATAGAAGTGGGTTTGGAGCCCTGCCACTGTCACTGAGAATAACACCACTTGTCCGACAGCCATAGATGACAGAAGTAAACAAGTAGTGTTTTGCAAACGTGTGGTCAGATGACCAGGTGGCTGCCTTGCAAATGTCCTCTAGAGGCACATTTTTGAGAAAAGCAGTCGTGGAGGCCATGGCCCAGTGATAGTGGGTGATGATAGTGTCTGGTGGTTGTTTGTCATGGATAGTATAATGTGTGTGAATACATGATGACATCCACTTGGAAATCCTCTGGGAGGAGACCACTTGGCCCTTGGAATGCTTGGCAAAGGATAGGAAGAGTCTGGGCATTATTCTCTGTGATTTTGTTTGATCTATGTAGAATGTAACTGCTCAGCGGACTTCAAGGGTATGTATGCCATGCAGCTTGGGATGGATCAGCAAGAGGCTCGGGAAAGAACACAGGTATGTGTATGGGTTTGTTAATGTGAAAGAGAGAGGGGACCTTTGGGAGGAATTTGGGGTGCAGCGGAAGGATTACTCTGTCCTTAGTAAATATTGGGGGGGGGGAGGAGAGGTCTGCCATTAATGCAGCAAGCTCCCCCACTCTCCTGCTGGAGGTTCTGGTCACCAGAAAAGTGACTTTCATGGACAAGTGCAACTTGCTCATGGTTATTAGAGGCTCGAAGGGTGGCTTAGTCAAACCCTTAAGGATGTTACTAAGGTCCCAAATGGGGACTGGAGGCCAAACCTACAGGAAAGTATTTTGGAGACTGGTAAAGAATTGTCTGGTGATTGGGTCTGAATAGAAAGAGTTGCCGTCAGTGGTTTGATGAAAGGCTGCTATTGCCACTGCGTGTACCTTTACCGTATTAAAATATAGGCCCGACCAGCTTAGTTCCAACAGATAGTCTAATATGAGGGGGATAGGTGTGGTATCAGGAGGCATGGGATGACTGTGTCTGAGCCACTGGGAGAATCTAGTCCACTTGTAAAGGTAAGTTTTCCTGGTGGACTCTCTCCTGCTGTTGATTAATATCTGCTTCACTCGCTCTGAGCAGGTGTTTTCAGCATTCTGGAACCATAAAGGAGCCACGTGTGGTGGTGGAGTTTGTGTGGTTCCGGATGGAGAACTGTGCCGTGATGTTGAGGGAGAAGATTGCATTGTGCGGGAAAGGTGTACGAATCTGCTATTGCCAATCTGTACAGGTAAGGGAATCATGTTTGTCTCAACCAGGCTGGTGCGATGAGGATAACAAAGGCTCATTCTATTCTGATCTTGGTGATAACCTTGTGGAGCAAGGTGAGTGGTGGGAAAGCATAAAACAAAGGTGCATCCCATTTGAGGGAAAAAGCATCTCCCAGAGAACCCTTCCGCAGGGCTCCTCTGGGGCAATAAAGGTGATACTTGTGGTTAACTCTGGTTGCAAAGAGGTCTATGTCTGGTTGTCCCCATCAAATTAAAACATGTTTGAGGGCTTGGGCATCTATCTCCCATTTGTGATGGTCGTGAAAATTGAGGCTGAGAGTGTCCACCATAACACTGAGTACCCCAGGGATGTACGTGGCTATGTGGGTAATTTGGTGTGCAAGGCACCAGTTCTATAATTTGAGGGCTTCCATACAGAGGAAGGGTGACCTGGCCCCACCCTGTCCATTGATATAATACATGCAAGTTGTGTTTTCTGTCATGATATTGTCTTGTGCACTATGTGGTGCAGAAAGTGGAGGTATGCACAGCACACAGTCCCAAGTTCTAGGAGATTGATGTAGAGTGTTTGTTCACTGAAAGACTTGTACGGTGAGGGGCCCAAGATGAGCCCCTGATCCATAAGAAATTGTGACTGTGGGGGTCGGCTGATGAAATGGTATGCCCCATAGAACATTGTGTGGATGTGTCCACCATTCCAGTAAACTGAGGACACGTGGTGGGATAGTGACCATCATAGAAAGGGGGTCCCGGGAATAGGTGTAAAGTGTGGTCAGCCAGGACTTGAGGCACCTCATGAGTAGCCTAGCTGTTTGGACCACATAGTGGTGGCAGCCATGTGGCCTAGGATCTTGAGGCATTCACGGACCGTTGTAGTGGAGGTCACATGTGCCGCCATTATGAGGTTGTGAAGGGCTTTGAATCTGCATGGAGAAAGCTGACCTGCCTGTGACAGTGTCAATGTATACTCCTATAAATTCTACAGTTTGAGTAGGCTGGACTGTGGACTTCTGGTAGTTTATATGGAAATAGAGATGAAGTAGAAGGTCCGTGGTGATATTGACCATGTGTTGCATTTCCTGGAAGGATGTGCCTTTTATGAGACAATTGTCCAGGTATCAGAATATTATGACTCTCTTACGGCGTAGGAATGACACCACAATGGCTAGAGTTTTGAAAGAAAAACCTTTTGAAAAACCAGGTTGAAAGCCTGAAAGGGAGCACTCGATATTGGTAATGTTGGCTTCCCACTGTAAATCATAGAAAACGATTGCGGGCAGGATGTATCAAAATAAGTATCCTCAAGGTAAACTAGGCAAATATAACTTAGATAGGGCCACGATAAGGTGGGTGCATAATTGGCTGGATAACCGTAGTCAGAGAGTTGTTGTTAACGGTGCTAAATCCTGCTGGAAAGGGATAACAAGTGGAGTTCCGCTAGGGTCTGTTTTGGGACCCGTACTGTTCAATATCTTCATCAATGATGTAGATATTGGGATAGAGAGTACGCTTATTAAGTTTGCAGATGATACCAAACTGGGTGGGGTTGCAACTTCTTTGGAGGATAGGGACATAATTCAAAATGACCTTAACAAGTTAGAGAAATGGTCAGAGGTAAACAGGATGAGGTTTTATAATATGAAATGCAAAGTGGGGATAACAAGT